GCCAGTGAAGCAACGTCCTCCACAACTAGACTGAAGAACAAATCGACAGCAACTGTGTTCCAATTCCCCAATAAAAATCTTTAAAAAAAAAAAAAAGGCTCAGGGAACACCGGCAGACTAGATGAGTGGCTATGACTGTTTTCTCTCCCCTCACCCCAGCTAAGCCCCATAGGAACCAGGTGGCCCTCCAAGTAGCTGTTTCCACTGTAGCCCTTGGCCTTGCTCACAAACCCTCCCTAGTCTACAGCCATTGGTCCTCCCTGATCCAGCCCCTGCAGGCCTTTCCAGCTCCACCCCACCCCGCCCCATTTTCCTTATCCTTCCTGCTCGAGGAACCACATTCTGCTTACCTTTCCTAAATACACGAAGATATTCCAAACCTCTGTGCTACTGCATGCCCTTTTCCCTGAAGTGCCTTTCCCCTCTTGCCCACCTATGAAATGGCTGATACAACTCAGGCTATCTCCTCCTCCAAGAAGTCAAGAGCACCAAACATCTTTTCCTTTTGCTGCTCTGTGCCGTGTAACTGTTACACCCATCCCACTGTAGTAGGACTTGTTTCTGTCTTGGCATCCTCACCATCTGCCTCAAAGCCTGGTAGAGCAGGGTCTCAGGGACTGCATGATGCATCAGGACATCACATCCTGCCAGGATGGTAGTGTCGTCTTTTGGAGGGCTTTTTGGCCCAGCTCTACCTCCTAGCTGTTACCTTGGGCAAGTCACTATAGTTCTGAGCCCATTCTTTATCTACAGATTAGGAGTGATAGCACCTACCTCCTAGGGTTGTCATAGAAGTTGGATTAAGACAAGGCCTGTCATACACACATATGTATGTCATGCATACAGAGTAGCATCTGGTACACAGTGAGCATTCACCTAGCAGCAACTAGTGCTGCTACCATGACCCCTAGTGCCCCCTCTCTTCTCCACTGGAGAAGGCAGAGCCCACAGGGGCCCCAGAAACCACACGTGGAGCTTCCAGGCCCAGAATCCCACACCTCTGCGTTCTGATAGGTAAGGAGGGAAAGAAATACAGGACACAGACTTATTGGGAGTAAAAAAATAGGACTTTTTTTTTTCCTCATAATCACATCAATTATCAAAGAAAGAAACAGTATGTAACAAAAATACAAAGCTCTGGTGGATTTTTTTTGTCTGTTTTTGTTTTGTTTTTGCCCCTCACTCATCCTTCCCCACCAGCCCCTTTCCAGGGAACCCCCGGCTGCAGCCTGGATGCTGTCCCCGGGGTCGCCCCAGGGCTCAGGAGAAGCGGTGGTCCAGGTCCCTTTGGGGGCTGGCTGAGTACGAGTAAGCCTTGCCCAATACCAGGCGGTCCCGCAGCAGTTTGAAGAAGGCATAGTAGTTGCTGAAGAGAATGAGTGCCAGCGAGATGGTCTGGTACCACTTTTCAGACGACATTAAGGAGTACAGCTGGTAGACAATGACAGCGCCCTCCAGCAGCAGCAGGATGTTAAGGATCCGCAGGGGTTTGCTGAAAAAGAACTGCCCAGGAAAGAGTAGGCACGGGCTGGAAAGCTGGCTCCTGAAACCTGCCTTGTGGATGAGCTGGGTGGGCCACTGAAGGGGACAAGCTCTTGGGGCCCCATGAGACTTGGGTGGGGAGGAAGACTTCAGAGGGCCGGGCATGGACTTTGCCAACCCTCTGCCTTTGCTTACAGTGTCCCATCTGTCAAGACTACTACTTCCCACATAAGATTCTGTTCAACTTCTACATCCTTCAGGAAGCTTTTCTTAAGAGGTCTTGCTTACTCTCAAACCTTTTCTGGTCTAAAATCAACACCTTTTTCTATGTGATCTTCCTGGGTACTGTGAGGCCTGAACAAATTAGAATCTTAGGATATAGCATGGAAAGTTAATGTAGACTCTACAGCCCGAGTCATCTACTACTTCATGTGTAGCATCACCAGCTAGGCCAGAAGCTTCTGGGGGACATGGCGACATTTCACTCTTATCTGGTGTTTACAGGGCAAGGTAGAGTGTAGGGACTCAAGAAAAGTTTTCTGATCGTTTAAAGAGTGCAGGGGCCAAGATATTGAAACCTCAAGAGCTGCTTACAGGATGTGAGAAGTGGCAGGAAACAGGAGTCCAAGAGACCAGCAAGCCAGGCTCAGCTCTGCACCTGACAGGCTGCAGGACATCAGGCAAATCCCTTCCCTGACTGGGCCTGAGGTTTCTCTACTGTGAAATGAAGAGATCACCCAGATCCATCATTTCTCAAACTGTGTTCCTTAGAGCCCCAGGTTCTGAGGAGGTCTTTTAGGGACTAAGGCAGTGGTGAGTGGGAAATGAAAGGAGTTCCAACCTTTTAAACACAACAGTGCCATGAGGTCCTATATATTGGACTTTAGTCTATGACTATGTTGGAAAGAGGATTTTGATAGTAAAATAAATAAAATGGAGACCACTAGCCTAGATGTTTTTTTTTTTTTTTTTTGCTGAGCCATCCTGCTACCTGTTGGCTGCTCAGCTCGGGCCGGGCATCGAACCGCTGTTGCTCAGAGCTCAAACTCTTGAGCGAGCTCTTAACCAACTGAGCCACTCGGCCGGCCCTAGCCTAGATGGTTTTAAGCAGCACTTTTCACAGTGTCATTACCATCAGTTTCCAAGTTTCCTAGTAAGGCATCCTTGAACAAGTTAAACTCTCTAAGCTGATGTCAGCATCTTCGAACAGGGAGAGCCCCGGAATTTCTCCCATTTAGCCCCTGCCATGGCTGGCTTCATCTTCCTCATCAGAACCCCCTCAGAGAGGCCTTCCTGGATTCTCCTACCTCAAGTATCCAACCCCATCTCTTCTCAGTCATTCCATCACAGTATCTTGTTTTATTGTCTTTCTAAAACTTATTTCAACCCTGTTAGTTTACTTGGTGATTATCTGTGCTTTTTGGCCATCTGCATATCTTTAGGAAAACGTCTATTCAAATCCTTTGCCTATTTTTAATTTTTATTTATTTTTTAAAATGTATTTTATTTGATTTTTTTAGCTGAGCCATCCTGCCGCCTGTTGGCAGCTCGGCGGCAGCTCAGCTCGGGCTGGGCATCGAACCGCTGTTGCTCAGAGCTCGCACTCTTGGGTGAGCTCTTAACCAACAGAGCCACTCGGCCGGCCCTCCCTCCTTTTATTTTATCATCTTTCCTGCCTCCACCCAACGTTTCTCAAGATCTGCTACCAAGTAAGCTGCAGTTGTAAAATGGCGCTCATTTGTATGGCTGTCCTTGCGCTGCATGTGTGCACCGTTTTCCTTTGGATTTGGGAAAAGACTGAAAATTGTTTTCTCTTGCTATGACATCACCTTCCTGCCCTTCTGCCCTCTAGATCAGGCCCCGCCCCCCTCCTTCCCAGGGGAAGACTCACGTGGAACCGGAAGTGGGAGACGTCGGAGGGGATGGCCACGTTGTAGTGGCCCACTGCTTTGTAGACGTTCTTGCTGTGCTTCACCAGCACGCCCTGTGGCCACATGCATTCTTCAGTCCACCTGGAGGCACAGCCCAACAGTGCCCTTTATGCCCAGCTCACCCACAAAAGCGAGTACCAGAAGACTGGGCATGGGTGACCACCAGGGCTCTACTCCCATTTCTATCACTTAGACACAGTGAGTTTCCTTTTTTGGGTGTCAGTTGCCTTCTCTGTAAAATGGGGTAAGAATCATGAGAAATTCATTGTACTGGGAGTCACAAGGTCTAGGGCTGACATTAATGTCTGAGGGACTGTCAAGAAGACTCTTTTTCCTCCCTCGCATTTTCTTCATCTGGTCTCACCTCTAACTTCCAATTGGTCCATCACACAGCTGCTGGAGTGGTCTTCGTAAAATATCAAGCTGAGCCTGACTATTTTCTGCTCAAAGCCCTCTGAAGGCTGCCCAGTGCTCTTGGGATCAAGTCCCCAAGTATTTGGTACAGCCACTGAGGCCGTAGGTGGCCTTTCATGACTCCCACCATACAGCTCATGCTCAAGCCATTCAGGACTGTTTCTAGTTCTTTCAGCATACATTACTGCTTCATGTCTCTGTACAAGTCGCTCCCTCCTATTGGACTGCCCTTCCTGGTGCCTTCCCTATCCTTCTGGCAAGCTCTTTTGTCATCTTTCAAAACCCAAGGTCCTCCAGAAAGCCTTTGTCAAGCTCCCCACAGAGTTCAGCATCCTTTAACTTTCCCCAATCCCCTACTACTGGTCTACCTTCTCCAATGTTTTGTCATTTACTTTTTTCCCTGTATCCCTCACTAGGCTAGGAGCCCTTGAGGGAAGGAACGGTGTCCAATTCATCTCTGTGTCCTCAGAGCACGCCACAAGGCCCAGCACAGAGAGGTTTGTGAGTGAGTGAGGTAGTGGGACCAGTGAGCTTTCTTCCAGTGTTCTGTGAGACCTCCCAGGAACTCCAGGGTTCCTGGGCCAGTGGACTGAGAATCACTGTCTGCCAGAAGTTCAATTTCCTGATCCTGCCTTGTAGACTTATTCATTTCAAAAACAGTGATCGTGTTATATACACTAACACGGATGAACCGCACAGAAAATATGCTGCATGAAAGAAGCTGGGTGCAAGATTTCATTTATATGAAGTTGTAGAACAGGCAAAACTAACCTATGATGAAAGAAAGTGGAATGTTGGTCGGAGGCTAAGGGGTGGCCATGAGGAAATTTTCTGAGGGGCTAGAAATGTTTTATATCTTAATGGGAGGTGGGTTACATAGGAGTATACATATACCTTTATCAAAACTGAAAAAAATTATACACTTTAAGATGTGTACATTCATTGTATGTAAATTTTACTTAAAAAAAAAAAAGACTACGGCCGGCAGAATGACGACGGTTAAAAACTGGCTTGGGACGCCAGAGGGCCCCGGTTCGGATCCCACATATGAGTGCCAGTGACACTGCCCTCCACAGCTAAGATGCAGAACAACAGCTCAACCTGGAGCTGGGCTGCCCTGAGTCGCCGACAACAGCATAGGCTGCAGCCCCTGTGGCGGTGGGTTGCCATGGGCTACTGTGTGTAGCCAGCAGCCAGCGTGAGAGGCCAGCAGCCACCGTGAGCGGCCGTCCAGAAGCCAGAGACTGATCTGCCTCGCCTGGGAAGAGCGCAATGATGATGCCAACTTGGGCAAGTGAAGCAACGTCCTCCACAACTAGACTGAAGAACAAAAGAACAACAACTTGTCTGTTCCCCTTCCCCCAATTCCCCAGCGCTGTTCCCATCCCCTCAATTCCCCAATAAAAATCTTTAAAAAAATAAAAATAAAAAAGACTATACACAAAAAACACAAAAATTTTGCTGTGGACCTATTATAAGCCAGGCTTTCTGCCAGGAGTGAGGAGATATTTGAGTGTTTGGCAGGCAAGGCCTCCAAGACCTCCAGGAGCTTTAGTCCTGGAATGATAGGCAAATACTGAGAAAACACAGCAGAAAGCGTGAGGTGCAATGATCATGGTATTATGGGATTGTGGGAGCAAAGGGGAGGGGCACCAAACCCATCCTGGGTGGTCAGAAAAGTGTTCCTGAAAGAAGCAAAGTGCTAAAAAGTGATTAGGAATTAATCAGGAAAAGAAAGTTGGAAAGGGTGTTCCAGGCAAAACATGTATCACGTGCAAAAGCCTAGATAAAAAAGTGCATACAGAACTTGAGGATCTGAAGAGGTCTGGCCTGGCTAGAGCAGAGTATGAGTTGGGGCATGGTAAGAGATGAGGCAGAAAAGGCTGGCAGGATCCAGTTCTTCAGCTGGGAAGCCATGTGAAGGAGCCTGGGTCTTATCTGTGGCCTGTGGTGAGCAATGGACAGGTTCATCCTCATATTCAGCTATGTTCTAGCTTTCTACTCTTCCCTCCCCTCAGAGCCCAAGGCTAGCAGAGGCCCCTTTTGGCCCATTTGGCAATGCCCATCCCTTTTCCTGGATCACCTGGCCAGAGGCTGAGATGGGCCCTGACTGGTATGGAGGGCCAACACCAGGAGGCACCAAGAGGCCTCTGTGGCCTCCCTGTGCATTTCTGCTTCTGGTGGGCCTACCTCTACAAACCTGTCCTAGGGGTCTCTTTTCTATCAGGCCTTATACTGGGTCCAAGACTCACATGTGATTCAGAGGTGGTCCCAGCCTTGAGGAGCTTCCAGTCTAATGGGGCAATACAGGCAGGAAAATTAGTATAATGTGGGTGCAAAGCACTGTGGTAAGGGCTGTAGAAATGCTAGGGACTGTGAAGGATAAGCCAGGCTGAGGGGAGGACAGCCTAGCACCTCAGGGCTCCCAACTGGGGGGTGACTTCTGCCTCTGCTGTGTGTGTGGTGCCAGCCTACAGCTGGGCCTCTTTCGTCCCACTCATCCTATTTGTGTACACAGTATCACCCCCACCAGACTGTGAAGTCCTCAAGGATCTCGTCTCAGTCATTTCCTCCCCGTCTCTTCTTCCCTGGCCAGGGTTCACCATAAGCTAACACAGCACTGTATCCTGTTACCAGGCTGATGTTTCTTAAGGCACACCTTGGAACAGGTCCCTCTATTGTTCAAAATCCTCCATAGATCTTCTCTGCCTTTAGGTCAAAGCCAAGCTCCTTTGTCCAATACATAGTACAGGCTTGATATGAATTAGGTAGAAATAAATGTCTGCTGAAAGAGTAGATGACCTAATGATTAAATGGATGAGTCGTAAGCAGATGATAGGAGTGATGCGATGAATGCATGCATGAGCAACTCAGTCAATGAGTAAATAAATAAGTCAGTGAGAGTCAATGAGTCTATGAATTTACTGCCTGCCCCCCTCCCATCTCCAGTACAGTGCAAGTTACCTAAGAAGAGGGAACATGCCCATCTTGGGTCCTGCCATAGCCCACTCCAGTCACAAGGCCTAGCACATAAGACTAATTTAATAACTGCTGACTGAATGAATGAGTTGATGAGCGATGAGGTGAGTTGACTCCAGACACTGACCAGGAGGGCTGAGGTTGGGTAGAAAAGGGTAGGGCAACTCACGGGTGCTGCAGCACGTTGGAGCACAGTGCCGGGTCCACCTTCTGCCAGCAGCCCAGGTGGGCAGCAGCCTTGTGCAGTAGATCGCAGTAGCTGGCAGGCAGCAGGTGCTGCATGAGGATCACTGAGGTGCTGATGGACACCAGCAGGAAGAGCTCGCAGGACCAGCGTTTGTCATAGTAATGTGTGTTCTAGGGGCAACCAGAGGTGGGTAAGGCCTGGGGCACCCATAATGCCTCACTGCCTCCCCCTTCCCTGATTCTATCTGCTTTGGAGATCAGAACAGCCCTGGAGAGAACTCAGGGTGACATGAAACCAAGGATTGAACACCTAACAAAGACGGCTTAATCATGGGCTTAGACCTCGTGTCCATTACTTAGTTTTCTACAAGAAAAAACTGCTCCCACTGCCCACTATTCTGAGCCACAGCACAGGCTCCAGGGTCCAAGCACAGGCTCTGAGGTCCAACAGACATGAATTCAAATCTTGCCTCTGCTGCTTATTAACTATGTGACCCTGGACAAGTCATTTCACTGCTCTATGCTCTAGTTTGTTCATCTGTTAAATGAGAATAAGAGTAACCACCAATCACTTCTGAAAGGCATTTGGAGAATTATAACAATCATGAAAGCTCTAGCACATTGTAGGTGCTCAAGAGACTTTAAGATTTCTCAACCTCAAATCATTCAGTGCAGTCCAGCCTTGAAGAAATGCTTCAAGCCTACAGTCAGCTGGAGAGGTACCTTCCCAGAAGGCCATACAAGCTAGAGAGAGAGCACAGGCTTTTAGAGTCACTCAGATCTGGATGACTCCTGGCTTTCCTACTTAATGATAAAGCAGGATATTGTGACACGCCTGTGCCAAAAGAGTCAAATTGAAATACAAGTCACTGCTCTTTGTTATCAAGTATTATGAACGATGTCCCCTTCATTGGCTGGGCGACCTTGTGCAGATCACTTCCTTTTAATGAGCCTTGTTCTCTCCACTCTAAAATGGAGGCAGTAGTTCTCTAGCCTTCGAGAGAACATCTGGAATCTTATCCAAAACAGTAGTTATTTACGCAAGCAGGAGGGCTCCTGTGGGGCAGGCGGCAGGGTAAGGCCCCAGGCAGACCCTCTCCCTCCCTGGGTTGAGCTACGCACCTTCACGAACCAGACAGGCACAAAGGCCACATAATAGGCACTCAGCATGGAGCTGACCAGCACTTCTTTCATGCGCCAGTTGAAGTCCATCTTGAGGAACTCCACCTCGCTGCGGATGAGGCTGGGTGACAGGCAGCAGGCATGGGTGGGCATGGCATCTGGGCCATACAGCTGCCGCGTGTGCTGCTTCCATGTCTCCCGCAACGTCAGCAGGTAGTCCCGGCTCCGTGCCAGGCCGCTGACAGCCTCCCTGGGACCCATGGAAGCCATGTGGCTGAAGAGGTTTGTCTTGCGGAAGTCACAGTTCAGCTGCAGGAACGGAATGTACATCCCAAACCTGCTGGGAAAGACAGTGGTGAGGGCAGGCCTGCCCATGGGCCATGATTCCAAACGTCAGCCACTGAGGAAATCCTTCTCTCCTCCCCCAGCCTTAGCTCTCCTGGAAACTCTGAGACCCATCTTTCTATCCATCCATCCTCTCATCCAACGGTCAGTCAACACATGTATTAGCACTGAGTGCATGCCAAGCATCCGGGTTACAGCAGGAAGCAAGAAATGAGTCCCTGAGCTCACAGTCTGGTGCTAATAGTAATCAAAACAGCTCACAGTTACTGGGCACAGGCTATGTTCCAGACACTGTTCTAGGTGCTTTACGTGCATTCTCTTCCTTTTTTTTTCCTTCTAAGAACACTGTGCATTGGGTACTGTTATTTTGTGCCCTTTTCAGCTGAGGAAGCTGTGGCTCAGAGAGGTGAAGTAGATTCCCAAAGGTTACACAATTAGTAAGGAAGTAACAGAGCTGGATTCAAACCCAACTGTCTGGTATCAAAGATCAGGACAGCTACTCAACAAATACTATGAGTAATTAATTTGAAATGTACACAGCACCACAAAAGAGCGGTATAAGTTGTTACAAGTACATGTTAGAGGCAGCTCTTAGTGTGTAGAGGGCTGTTCAGGAACAATATTTCTTGTGTGTCTATTATGTGCCACACACTGAAATAAGCCCTTGAACAGTACAAATCCTTTCCCAAAGCAGCACCCTTAGGTTAGGGCTGGAGCTAATTAAGGGGAGTTCTGAGAGTCTGGCTAGTATTGTTTGAGGACAAAACTATATAGACTCATAGCCCACAAGGGTAGATAATTACAAGAAGTGAGTAATGCTGAGCACAGTACAGGGAACGTTGAAGTAGGTGCTCTTTACAGGCATTCTTCTTTGTAGCTTGGGGCCTCACAATTTCCTCAGGTCCTCAGACATAGACCCGGAAGGATCCCTGGGCTGCCCCCAGGAGTTAGGGCCAATGAGAATGCTACATTTTCCTATCAACAGTAATTTCTTCTTTTTCTGTTTTCTGAGGCTCCAAGAAGGGAAACGTCCTTGGGCAAACAATTTGCCTCTTTTGAGTTTTCGCTTTCTGGTCTATAAAATGGGGATGTTACCATTCTCTCTGGGGTTAAGGATTAGGTAAGATAACTTAGAGAATTGTGGTTGAGAGCATAATCTTTGGGGTCAAATAGGCCAGGACTAAAATCCCAGCTCTGCCACTTACCAGTGCTGTGATTTAGGGCAAGTTACTTAATCTTTATGAGCCTCAGTTTCCTTAACTTGCTGTAAGTTATGCAGCTGTATTGATTCTCTATGTTCAGCCAGGCATTATGTTAGTGCTTTCATAAATACTCCATTTTAGTTTTTGCAACAACCCTCAGTATGGTGCCTGGCTCAGCGTAGATCAATGTATGAGTAATTTTGTTTAGAAAAGAAACAGGCCAGAGATTCTGCGGGACAAGAAAGAAGACTGAAATGGGATTCCCAAAACACTCTTCAGGATACCCTGTGGTAATGAGGGGGTGGGACACCTACTTAATATACAAGGGATTCGGAGTCAAACTTAAGGGCAAGAATCTTAGGATTATCTCCCTGGCTTTGTCTCTAAGAAGAACTGTGGGTACAACTAAATAATATGGTAATAGCAGGTGACTGCTCTGACAGGTCACAAGTTAGAAGCAACTTCACATGAAAGATGGCAGATTCCCTCTCATCCTCTCCACCCAAGACACGACAGTAGAAAATAAATTTGTATCAGCAAAAAAGAATGAAAGTGGGGCTTATCAGTACACAGTGATTTTGACAAGTTTAGAAAGCAGACAGAAACACGTTGACAGATGAGGAAGGAGACCTTTGTCTAGAGCAGCACTGTCTGACAGAAATATGTCACATATATAATTTAAAATTTTCTAATAGCCCATATTAAAAAAACAGATAAAATTAATTTTAATATTCTATTTTGCTTAACCTAATATATGTAAAATATTATTTCAACATATAATAATTATTTATGAATGAGATCGTTTACTTTCTTTTGTACTAAATCTTCAGAATCCGATGTATATTTTATACTTACAGCACATCTCAGTTCAAACTAGTCTATTTCAAATGTTCAATAACAGGTGGCGAGAAGCTGCTTAAACTGGATGGTGTAGGTCTAGAACATGTCATGAGAGGGCTACACTGGGTATGGGAGAGTATCTGCTGAGTGTCTCAAGAGAGACTCTGGTTTGAAGTGGACACATTTAATAGAGGGTAGACATAATAAGCAGGGCTCAACAAATGGAATTAAACAAAGATCTACCGTATTTTGCCGTGTATAATGCACACCCACGTTCTTGGCCCAAACTTTCAGGGAAAAAAATCTTTTCGTTTTAAGTTTTTAATTCAAATTGTTATTTGTTTATATTTAGGTACTTGTTTTTTGTATTCTAAAGGAATTTTAGCATTTATTTTTTAACATATTATGGTACAAGAAATTTTATGTACTGGTAACAAATTTATGATATTTACACATCATAGAAGGCCAAGAACTCTTTGTCCTGGCAGGTTCATCCTAAGTTCAACAAAACTGATTATCGTATTCCAGGGTATTATTTTGCATATGGATATCATTGATTTCTAGAGTTACACTTTTAACTCATAAGCATAAAAAAATTATTTAAAACTTTTACATAGCTATGGAATTAGTACTACCTATATATAACGTGCATCCTTATTTTCCCTCACAAATTTGGGCAAGAAAGTGCTCAATATACACAGTAAAATACGTAAATTTATGTACCAGAATCATTCCCTTTATTCTCTTACACACCTCACACAACTGACTCTAAAGGATTTTTCTCTAAAGAAATTGAATCAAGTGTCTGAGGACAACTGAGGTTTCTAATGCGGGCATCCTGCACCCCGCCCCGCTTCTGGCCTTTGGGAGCCCACAGCCTAACAAATAGCACCTTATTCAACAGTTTGCATGTCAGTGTACTCTTGCCCATGTACTCAGAATTCCGTCAAACCTTCTATTCACTGGATACAATGGCAGAGGGAGAGAAAATGCACTTCAAGCTACTCAGTCCTTCATTCTCAAATATAAATAGACAACCAAAGAAACCAGCTATGTTTAGAAAACCAGCAACATGAAACAGAAAAATTGACCCTGGTGGAAAGACAAAATTGAGGGAGCATAAAGAGATAAAAAAAAAAAAAAGAAAAGAATGCTATGCGAAAAGAATAATCATAAAACAAGAAAGAGGATTTAGAGATGAAAAATATGATGGCTGAAAAAAATCTCAATAAAAAAGCTGGAAGGTAAAGTTGAGGAACTCTCCCTAAGTCAAAGTGAAAAGAGAGAGCAGACAGAGAGAGAAAGACAGAGAAAGAAGGAAGTGAGGGGGACAGAGAAAGGGAGAGAGATGAGAAAAATGTGAGAGAAAATGTAAGAGGAACAGATGACCAGTCTACAAGGTCTACCATCTGATGAACACAAGTCCCAGAGAGAATAGAAAAAAATGGAAAGGAAGATATTATCTAAGAAATAATAGAAAAAAATTTCCTTGAGCTCAAGAAATACCTAAATCTCCAGGTTAAAAAAGTTGTAGAGCACTGATAAGATTAATGAGGTAAGTTCCATACCAGACACATCCTTGTGAAATTTCAAATGATCAAAAGATAAACAGAATATCCCTAAAAGTCTTCAGAAAGAAAAAAAATAAGTTATCTACAAAGTAATGGGAATCACACTGGCATCGGTCTTCTCATTAAAAACATTGAATGCTCGAGACAATGGAGCAATATCTTCAAAATTCTGAGAGAACATGAATTTGAGTTTAGAAATGTACATTCAGATGAACCATCAATCAACTAGAAGGGCAGAATAAAGACATTTTTAGACACGCAAGGGCTCAGAATGTATATACCTCCCATGTACCCACTGTTAAGGGAATTACCTGATAATGCACTCCAGCAAAATAAGGGAGAAAACCAAGAAAGAGGAGGACATGGGATCCAGGAAACAGTGGATCCAACCCAGGAGGGCAGCGTAGGGAAGTCCCAGGCTGAGAGCTGTACAGCAGGCCTAAAGAGCAACCACTCCAGACTGGAGGAGGATGGAGGGCTCCAGGAAGATGTCTTTGGGGGAGGGGGGAAATGAACTCCAGGCAACAGGTAGCATGACTGAGAAGCTGGATAAACTTGAGGATATGTTGAAGGCCCATCATTCTTTTGTTAACAAGAAAAAAGAAAGGCAATTAGAAACTCCAAGAAAAATAAAAAGCTGTATAAGAAAGTTACAATTGAAATATGAGGCAAACTAAAATATGACATGATTTTAAGCAATTGACAGAATATAAGAAAAGGGAAACCATTTGACGGTGACACTAGAACATTCTTTTTTTTAAGAGGTCCAAGACTGTAACTCAGTAACTATAGAGGAGGAATGTTGTCTATGCACGGCCCTACAGTGAATGATATTTCATATTCCCAATAATATCAAGGCTACTTATTGGTTTTTAATTTTTAGAATTAGCCTTAGACAAAGAATAAAAGACTTAAATGTGGTTATATACAAGAATGTGAATGTCAAGCTTGATGATATAAAAGTAAAGAGTATAGTTGCCAGGAAGTGAGAGGAGGAAGAGGGGAGTAAAAGTGGATGGGTAGGGTTCCTAATATTCTCATCTTACATAAAAGGGATTAAGATACTATTGTTGATGGAATAAAAAAATACAGGCATATTCATATTACTGAAAAAGATAACCAATAGGAAACTAAAAATAAGTTATCAAAGCAGTGGAAACAGTAGAGATGGAAGGGTGAACTAAATCTTTCCCCGTCATTGCACATGTGCATATATGAGTGTGTGTTATGCTTGTATATGCAAAGAACATTTATCTCCAGATATACAAGAAACCAGAAATATTGATGGCTTCCTCTGGGAATGGAAGCTGGGTAGCTGGGAAATAGGAGTCAAGGGGAGACTTTTTCATTCATATTCTTTTATACCTTTAATTTTTAACTATGTAAACCCATTATCCCAACTATAAAATCAATAAATAAATTTTTGAAAGGGATAAACAAAGGTATAAGAATACTAGAATTATGGCAGTAACTTGAAAAACACATAAAACCAGAAATAATGATAGATACTGCTTTTGAGAAGTGGGACTAAAACTCGGTTGGGTGAGGCTGGAGGCTGTTTTTAATTATAAGCTTTTAGCTTACTAGATTTGACTTTTTTATGCAGTATATGTATTATGTTCATAAAAATTAAAAAATAAGAGCAAACTATGAACACTGGGTGATGTCTATATCCAAGGAGAATGGACTTATCAGATATTAATCAAAAAAGGGTTAAATTAAGGCGATTGTTGACAGTTTTAATGAGTACAACCATTTTGGAGGGCCATTTGTTAATATACATTGAAAATGTAAACGGACATAACTTTTGGTGTGGTAATTCTACTTCTGGGAATCTGTTATACACGAATATTGGACAAATGTGCAAACATGTATGCAAAAGAATGTTCCTTGCCTCATTGTTTCAAATAAAGAAAGCTAGGAACAACTCAAAAATCTACCAATAAAAGGAAAAGCAAATTGTGAAAAACCTATACAGTGGAATGCTACGAGGCCATTAAAAAAGAAATGAGGGGCTGGCCGAGTGGCACACTGGTTAAGAGCTGGCTTGGTTAATAAAAAATAATTAAAAAAAAAAAAGAAAAAAAAAGAGCTGGTTTGGGACACTAGCTCTGAGCAGTAGGGCGCCCGGTTTGGATCCCACATGAAGGCCAGTGACGCTGCGCTCTCTACAGCTAAGATGGTGAACAACAGCTTGACCTGGAGCTGGGCTGTCATGAGTTGCTGGTGATGGCATAGGCTGCAGCCCCTGCTGCACTGGGCTGCCATAAGCTACCGTGAGTGGCGGGCAGCCAGCGTGAGCGGCCAGCAGCCGGTGTGAGGTGCCAAGAGCCGCCGTCCAGAGGCCAGCGACCAATCTGCCTCACCCGGGAAGAGTGCAATGATAATACCAACATGGGCCAGTGAAGCAACGTCCTCCACAACTAGCCTGAAGAACAAAAGGACAGCAAAAGGGGAACTTGTCTGTTCCCCTTCCCCCGATTCCCCAGCGCTGTTCCCCTCCCTCAATTCCCCAATAAAATCTTTAAAAAAAAAAAAAAAAAGAAATGAGGCAGACCCATGTGTATTGCCATGGAAAAATATTAAAGTTCTATGATTATGTGAAAATGTAATAAATTGTGTAACATTATACATAGTATAATCCCATTTTTGTTTTAAAAAAGTATATGCTGCGGTGACTGGTTAGCTCAGTTGGTTAGAGAGTGGTGCTGATAACACCAAGGTTGCCAGTTCGGTCCCCGCATGAGCCACTGTGAGCTGTGCCCTTCTTAAAAGAGTCAACTATGCCATTGTAGCATGAAAGCAATGTGTAACCAATGACCATGGCTGTCCCCCCCCCCCCAAAAAAAGTATATGTGTATGTGTTCTTGCCCAGAAAAAATATGGAAGGATATGCTGTAAATAATGGTTTTCTGGGGGACTGAGGTTATGCGATTGCATTTTCTAAAAAGCTGTAAAGTTTAACCATTTTATATGAGTGACATATGTCACTCTTCTAATTAAAAACTAGATAAAACTGAAGCAAGAGTAACGGGGCTGCTCCCATGATAGTGTCCTCATCAGAGTGGAGAGGGAGCAGTGTCTAGCTCTGAATCTTCCCAGGGAACAGGGATGGTCCAGCCTGGGGAAACTCATGAACCAGAAAGCCCAGGCGTTGGGAAATGACTGTGAAATGTCCAGGAAGCCAGGCGCCTGTCTCAGAAACAGGCAGAGTGGACACCTTGCCAAAGCCCTCCCCAATTCTAGGCCAGAAAGGGGCAGGTCCTGGGCTCCTCCCAGACACTATCTCTCCATCCTCAACAATATGGGTTCTGGCAAGATGGAGGGAGTGAGTGAGCAAAACAGGCACAAAGACAGATAATACATGCACATGCAGATACACACACACGTGCTTCATGCATAGACGCCCACACAGAAACATGCACACAGGCTGGTGCTCTCATGCACAGAGACCCGGGAAAGGTACCGAGAGCTTACATAAACACTGATACACACAAAAGAGACCAAGAAAGAGAAAGGACCAGAGAGAGAGGAAAGGAAAAGAGAAGGAGACAAAGCCCATGCACTCCCGCCTCAGGAAGGTTCCTTTCAGGGATACACTCAGATCTTAGTCCCATTCTGACTTCCCCCTCGGTGGCACCTTGGGTAAATTATGCCGTCTCAGTTTCTGCTCCTGCAAAAGAAGGCTCATCACCCTGATCTCAGGGGGATATTGTCAGACGATGTGAGAGAGATTGTTGCTGCCCTGCCTGTGAGACTTCCAGGTGCTGGGACCTGGTGACCCAGCCACACTCAGGGCAGAGGTCAGGAGCCAGGTGCTAGGCAGTGGGGGGAAAAGTGAGGGGTACTCACGGATAGCAGAGGAACAGGAGGTTCAGGAAGGAGTAGGTCCTGAAGAGGTGGATGAGGGAGCGGCACAGACTCCAGCCTGTTGCCGTGAGAACGGTGAAGCGGGTGAGGAACAGCAGGATGGAGCGAAAGAGGGAGACCTTCCCCCTCTGAGAAGCCTGGGTCAGGGCGAGATAGGACGGGATGGGGCCTTGGATGGAGGCCCCAGGGGCTGTGCCCAAATTCCCCCCAGCATGTTCTGTGAGCCCACCCAGGGAAACGTGGGGCAGCAGACTAGGCAGAACCTGGCAAAGTGAATCCTTCTCCTTGATACCCAGAAAACTCCCACGAGCCGATGGACGTGAGTAATGTTCTTCAACCAAGTCCAAAGGGAGCCCCAGGGAAATGCCTCAGGGTTGAAGGGCTCAGTGTGTCTCCTTGGCATCCCCAAGGGAAAGGGGAGTCCCAAAGTCCCCAGCCTCTAGGACCCAATCACCTCCTTCACGATGGACCCAATGAAGCGGCGGCCCAGAACGATGGCGGTCACCATCAGCAAGTTGAAGTCGATCAGGTGGAAATTCTGTCAGGGGGCAGAGGCTGGGGGTCATGTTGGCCCCCCGCCCATATATGGGCTTTTTTTCATACCCACCTCCCTCTGCCCAGTTCTTTCCATAGGGACTGTCCCCACTCTCTGACCTTCATAGGCCTCCAGCTGAGTCAGGCCAGGAAATTACCTAGAGGAGAACAGGACCCAGAGGAGGGAAGTGGGACCATCCCTGGAGATAAGAGAGTGGTGTGTGAGCCCTCTTGCTCTCATCACCCATGCCCCTGTCCCTGAACCTCTCTTTCTGCACGGAGATCTTTCCACTCCTGAAATAGTCATGTACGCCTATGGCTCACCTCCCCCACAGAACTTAAGACTGTGCTCCTTTGGGCAAAATCTGTCAGATTCCTCTCTGCTACATTTATACACCTAGTGTGGAGCTAAGCACATTAGGGGCGAGTGTTCAGGAATCACCAGTTTCTTGTTCCTTCTACATCTCCCACGATTAGCATGAGGCCAAGCGAACAGGGTGCTAAGTAAGCTATGCTAAACTAAAACCAAATGTCACACACACACACACACACACACACACACACACACACACACACACACACAGCTGGCCCTAGCTGGGCACCTACCAGGGAGGTATGGGAGGGTGGGTGGGAGGGCGGGTACCACCACACTGTCTTGTAGATGTTGATGTAGTGAACGAAGAGGGCTATGAGCTGGCAGAAGAAGAGCTGCAACTCAAACAGAATGCTGGCCTGGACTGGCAGCTCGGGGATCTTGCAGTGCTGTAGGGGCACGACCGTCTGGGTGGCCAGTGGGGGGCTGGAGAGGCCCGTCCCAGGACTGCTCCTGGGGGTAGGGAGGGAACAACATCAGGAGCTGATCTAAGAACCCTAACAAGAAGGGATTCTGTGGCAAAGGATTGTGGGGTAGGATCAGAGAAGCAGTTCATGGCAAGGATGGAGTCCTTCTCATCCTGCCTGTCAGACAAACAAGCTGACAGAGCCTTTTCCTATCCCTAATCTTGTTCAGGCTTTCCAACGTACCCCAGGAAGAACAGAATTATTAGGTTCATTTTACAGATGAGGAAAAGGAGGCCCAAAGTGGGGAGACAACTTGTCCAGCAAATCAGGAGCAGAACTGTAACCGGAATCCAGGCTTTTGAGCTTATTGCACTACGTTGTAGTGCAGCTGTTCAAGTGACCACCTCTGGGTCTTTTCCACTGCTCACTGCCTTCTAAGTCTCCATCTGGCATCTAGGGGATCACATTCTCGAGCCCAGGCTGGGTCAACTTTGTCCATACTGCCGCTGTGAGCCCATAGTGAGGGGCAAGTGAGAAAGGCAGTTTACCTGGTGCGGGACCGGACACTGGTGACTGATGCGCTGGAAGTGTGGCCCCCACCAGAGCCCCCTGAGGATCCTGGCTCACAGAGTGGATTTCGACAGTAGGATGTCCTGTTGGGACCTCTTCGTCCTCCTGTGGGGCTCAACATAAGGTAGATCCTCAAGCCCGAGGGCAAATATCCAGGATAACAGCAATGATACTGGCTACCATTACCTGTTGTCTCATTTTATTATTTAATCACAGAGTCCTATGATCTGGTCCCTGCCTTCTTCTTCAACCTCATCTCCTACCATTCTCTGCCTCGCTCTCATGCTTCAGCCATCCTGGCCTTTCTTTCCTTAAACCAAACTTGTTACTACCTTGTGCATTTGCTGTATCCTCTGTCTGGAGAGCACTTCCCTGATTGGCATTTCTGAACTATCTGCCCCATAACTCTATTTGTGTTTTTTATTTTATTTTTTATTTTTTTAGCTGAGCCATCCTGCTACCTGTTGGCAGCTCAGCGGCTGCTCAGCTTGGGCTGGACTCGAACTGCTGTTGCTCAGAGTTCAAACTCTTGAGCGAGCTCTTAACCAACCGAGCCACTCGGCCGGCCCTCTTTTTTATTTTTTTTATTACAACAATTCACTCTTGAAATTTATCTTATTCATTTGTTAACATATTTATTGTCTGTCTTACCCACTAAAAGTCAGTGAGGTCACTACACTTACCTTTTTCTGTTGTATCCCCTCCCCCTATCACAGTACCCAGTAATAAGTGCCCAATGAGTATATGTTGATGGGTGAATGAACCCAGCAAGGTAGGTTTCCCACAGATTAGGAAACTGAGTTTACACTGTGTCACAGTTAGTTTGGGGGTCTGGGTCCTGTGCTCTTATCTCTGGTGTACACTGCCCCATTCAGATACTATACAGTCTATAGGCTTACAATTCTGGGCAGACTTGTAGTTTTTTCCTCCAGGGTCCGATATCCAGCTCAATGGGCATCCTGGTGTCTCATGGTCAGGACCCAGGGCTTGAGCACATGGTCAAGGACCCAGGCTTTGGGAGAATGCTATGGTTGTGGACCAGAAACTGGGACCCACAATCTATTGCTCTAGGTTTAGCAGACTAGCCCGAGCTCCCAGGCATCGTCCTGCAAAAGCTTCTAAGCACCACCCCAGTCCTAGTCACGGTTCTAGTCTCATTCATACCCTCCCAAGGCAACACACACACCCTTTGCCCTAGATCCTCAGCTAGGTAGCTTTTTCCACACGTCTCCACAAAGTACTTGTCCAGGAACTCTGTTCCCAACCAGCCCCCAGCCCAGAAGCTCTGTTTATACACTATTATACCTGGCTTAGAAAATCCCACACAAGAACCCTCAGCCCAAAAGCTCTGCCCACACCTACTCTCCTCTCTTTAGAAGATCTGCACCCACATCAAAGCCCCTTAGCCCAGGAGTCCCGCCTACACCCAATTATCAGCCCAGAAAACCCGTCCACAAGCCAACAAAAGCTGTCTGCTCAGACTTCCCGCTCCAGAATGGGCTCCCTTAATCTAGATCCCCTTTTCACCCTGCCATCCCCAGTAAAAAGCCCCTACGGTCCAGAAAGTTCGCCCCCGCACCAGAGCCTATAGCCCAGGAGCTCCGCCCAAAGCACTACGGCCCCGCCCCCGCTAAGCCCCGCCTCCACGCTTAGCACTGGTGAGCGGGTCCTCATCAAAGCCCAAGCTCCCACAAGCCCCCTTCATTTTACAAGTCCTGCCCACCACTCAAGAGTCCTGTCCCCACAACAGAGGCCCCACTCCACAAAACGACAGGAGGGGGCGGGGCCCCACTGCGCCCGCATCCCCTCCCCCCTCGCCGGGACTCTGTCCGCGTGGGGAAACAATTAGCAGCTTGGCCGTCCCAATCCCCGCGCCCGCTTGTTCCCGGGCCAAGTCAGACCCTCTCTGCTTACCCATCTCCTTCCCCCGGCGCTCTCTGCTTCGCCGCCGCAGCTCTTGCGGGCAATATGTCGGAGGCGACGGCGGCCGGGAGAGGACTAACCGCCGCAGCCTAGTCCCAGGGTAGCAGCCGCGCGCTCCCGCCTCGCCGCCAAATTTGCATACAAGGCGGCTAGAAGCTGGGGGCGCGCTTCTTAAAGGGGCCGCCCGGACAAAGGCGGAGCTGGACTCTCTTTGTCTCGCAGTCCCCCACGCCCTTCCTGCAGCTGCTCCTGAAGAAACCCGAGAGGCAGGGAAACCCACCTCCTACTCTTCTGTGCGTGCCTTCTCCCAGCATCTCTTCAGGCTCGAGGGAGGGGGCCGGAACCCGCCTTTCGTCTCAGTTCCTGCCGGAGATAGACTGTATCCATGAGTTGCCAACAGGATCCTCAGACTCAACGCGTTCAAAAATGGGCTGTCACCTTTCCCTTCAGCCTTATTGCTCTTTAGTTTACCACCCCAGTCACAACCTAGGAGTCATTTCCCCATTTGCCTCACTTGAAGGAAATGAGTGAGTCAGTCATCCAGATATCTGGAGAACGGGGGCGGGGGGGGGCATTCCAGGCAGAGGAAAAAGTCAGTGGAAGGGCCCTCAGGCACAAGCATGCCTGGTGTGTTTAAAAACCAGCCAGGAGTCTGGGGAATATAATCAATAATGTTGTAAATATTTTTTAGGGGCCCAGATGGACTCATGTCTTATTAGGGAGACCATTTCATAGTGGGTGTAGAGGCCTGAGCACTGCACTGTGTTTCTGAAGCTGATGTTGAATAACATTGTATGTCAACTAAAATTATATATACATATAGTCACGGGACGTGGAGTAGAGTGTGGGAATGGAGTCAATGGAATTGTAGTAGATAATTATGATATCGGGTGGGAGGGCAGTAGATGGAGGAGGGGGGTTGTTTCTGTGTGAAGGGTGAAAAGGATAACTATTTCATTGTTCTGTACACCTGAAACTAACAACAACAAAATGTTATTTAAATAAATAAATAAATAACAGCAAGGAGGCCAGTGTAGCTTGAATGGAATAGACATGAGAATAGGAACATGAGAAGGGGTGGACTGCACTGGGGGCTGTGTGGCTATACTCTGAATGAGATAGGGAGCAGTTGGAGGCTTTGCACTTCCATTCTTAAAGAATCACTGTGGCTGTTCTGTGAAAATAGACTGTAGGGGCACAAGGGTGGAAGCAGGGAGACCAGAAAGGAGACCTCCACAATAATCTTAGCAAGAGATGTTGATGGTTGTTACCAGATTGAGTGAGGAGATGAGACATGGTTGGATTCTGGATTTGAAGTATTTGTTGATAGATTGGTGTGTAGGAAGAAAGGGATCAAAGATTACTCCAAGGCTTTTAGCTTAGACAAATGGAAATAGGGAGTTTAATTCAACACATACATATCTATTAAATTATAGATTTTACACCAAGTCAGGCCTTCCCTTCTTGGGGAAAAAAGGGCAGGGGGTGGGGCAAAGGAGGGAGGGAGAATGACCATGTCACAAAGCATGTCACAAAGCAGAGTAGAAACCAGGGCTGAGATTTCTTTTTCCAGCTAAAGAAATTCTGTTAGAAGAGCTGGCTCTGTCCTCTTCAGAGTACTGCATTTGAAATGTATCTTGTTAATTTCTGAATCCCCAAAGCCTAATACTACCTGGCACATGATAGGCATTCAATAAGTATTAGTTCAGTTGAATTAAGGTAATGACAAATTGGCTTTTGAAAGGAAGAGCAGGCAGTTGGGAAGCTAAATGGTTTCAGAATATTCCATAGAAGACTGAGGCTAGGCCATTCCTGGGAACGCATTTTAACTCAAGTCAATAAACATTTTTGAGCATCTATTATATCCCGGGCACTGGGGATAGAGATGTCACTCATTATTGGAGGAGAGAGAGGAGGATCAGTAAATTATGGTACAGTGTGATAACAGCAGTATGTGTCAAGTTCAGAGGTGGATGGAAGGTGGCTGACTGACAGGGGAGGTAGTTAAGAGAAGGCTTCGAGGGAGATGACATCAGAGCTGGTTTCTGAGATGAGTGGAGTTTGCCTCTTATACTCCTATGGGAGGGAGCAATAGCCTGAGTCTGGTTATTGTCATACCAGGGCTGATGGCAGCAGAATGTCTTACTGTGCATTTATTATGTGGAAGGTTCTGGACCTCGTACATGGCAAATAATCAGGAAATATTTGTTGAATTGAAGGCACTCATACAACCCAGCATAAAAATCCATTCAAATGGACTGTTGTGGGCCGGCC